CATGTGAATGTCGGTAAAATCTATTACATCATTTTAAAAGGGGAGAGTCTGGCCTTTTTATAAAAAGAAATTATGCACTCCCTAATACGTGTGATGCTTACTAAATAAGGTGTCAAATGATTTTTTTTTCTAGATATCACAGTTACGTGACGTTATTTATCGATAGTTTCGAATATTGATATAAAGAGTCTTTTTTTTTTTTTCTCACAAGTTTCTTACTTTTTAAAGTTTCTTACCTTTAAACCTCTAAAAATCGTAACTTTTAAAAATCGTAACTTTTAAAAATCGTAACTTTTAAAAATCGTAACTTTTAAAAATCGTAATCACATACAAAAAAAAAAAATCTCAGCCTAAACCTAACAAAACCTCATACGAAAAAAAATGTTTTTTTTAATCATTTGCTTTATCTTCCTTTTTCTTTTATCAAAAATTTTTGAAAAGGCACTTGGTAAATTAAGTTTTCCTCTTTACTTTTTTTTTTGATTTATTCGAACTTACGTTTAAACTTTTTTTTGGTATAGTTCTGGATATAGACTTAGGAGAAAACAAAGATCATGAAACTGGGAATGGTAAATAATGATGTTTTTTAAATATTATTTGAGTTTTCACCTTGAATATATAATATTTATCTGATTAATTTTTATTAAAAAAAGACGTTGAAGAAATGTTTGATACACTTATCTCCCTTGTTCAAGAGAACAACGAGACGTTAGAGTGGGTATCACATAACATGGTATATTCCGAACCTGGAGAAGTGACGGACTTGATTGAAGAGTTGAATGACCTTATAAATGAGCAACGAGATTCAATCAAAGTATTTCTATTACGCCAAAAATACAGAAAAAACAATGATTTGACTGAAGATTTTATGACAATGGACGGAAAACTCCCAACGTTCAATATCTAAATTCCCGTTCAAGATTTCTTTGACTGCAATAGAAGAATCGATATATCTGATTTGGCCGGCTGGATAAATGGAACTTTATTAAGCATCGCTTTTATGATTCTATTATTTATTGAATGAAGTTGTTTCCTACCTTTCTCGATAATTTTGGTTTCCTATCTACACCGACTTAACGTTTTATATTCCCTCGACTATATTTAATCTATTGATATATTTTAATGAACTTATGTTCTCAAACATTTTCAATTTCTTCTTATCGATATAAATGCATCTTGGCTTCTTTTTATAAGTTACAAAAATTTTAAAGCGCTACAGCAATTTTATAACAACTTTTTTGCAAAACATCCAAGTATGATTTTTATCTCTGAAGATTTCACCACACTTCAAGAAAATACTTTAATTTCTCTTTTAAATAACGAAAAATTACAAATTTTCGAATCTGAAGCATGGGATAACTTATTTTATGGAAATGCCGAATCTACCATCTGATCTTAAAGAATATACAAATGAAAATTTCGGGTCTTTAGAGCTACAATTCAAAACTGTCTTTCTCATATTAGATATTTTCAAATTTCTGGTGAAGGCATCTTAAAGAAAATCAAATCTTTACCCCCTCAAAAAGAGAAGTTGCACAACTTCTTTCTGGGAAATCTTCAATTATTATACCGTCTTCAATAAATATTATGAGCTGAATTGATAAATTCAGGAGATTATATGAAGAAGATTTGGCAGCGTTAAAAGAAAAGGAAGAAAACCTAGATGATGATAGAGAATTAAAGACCACTATTATTGATAACAATATAGTGCGAGCCTCAGAATTGTATCCCGAGAGCACGTGAAGTAAAAACGGCAAAGAAGGCTATGAAGATCACTTACCAAAAATAGGTTCCGGTGATACGTAAAATGTAGAAAAGTGGAAAATATGAAAAACATAAAAATAAGGGAATAAATGATAAATACGATATTAATGAAATCGGGTCAGCTCTATTCACCGACGCTCCTTTCATAGACACATCTCTTCACCAAAATCGCCTCGCCGATATGTCTATATCATCAACACTAAATTCACCAATAATTATTTCGCCAACAAATTTAATTCACCAAAAAGTTTATTTGTCGACACTAAATTCACCAACAATTAATTCGTCGACAAAATTAATTCACCGAAAAGTTTATTTCGTTGACAGTACAACTCACCAACAATTACTTCACCGAAAAGCTTAATTCACCGAAAAGCTCATTTTGTCGACAATATGTTTCACCTACAATTAATTCACCGAAAGCTCATTTTGTAGACTGTACGATTTACCTACAATTACTCCACCGACAGCTTATTCACCGACAAGTAAAAAGCAAATTATTTTATGCGAGAAAAAAAATCAAGGTTAGTAAGGGTTGAAGCGAAGCAAACTATGTAAAATAAGAAAAGCGAAGCCTGACCTTAATTATGCAAGTATATTATGAAGACCTTTTATAAAAAAAAAGTCAGGATTAGTAAAATATGAAGCGAACTATATGTGAAAATAGGAAAAGCGAAGCCTGACCTTAATTATGCAAGTACATTATGCTTGATTTTTTTTCGCATGAAATGATTTGCTTTTTACTTGTCGGTGAAATAAGCTGTCAGTGGAGTAATTGTAGGTGAATCGTATAGTCTACAAAATGAGCTTTTGGTGAATTAATTGTAGGTAAAACATATTGTCGACAAAATGTGCTTTTTGGTGAATTAAGCTTTTCGGTGAAGTAATTGTTGGTAAGTTGTACTGTCAACGAAATAAACTTTTCAGTGAATTAATTTTGTCGACGAATTAATTGTCGGTGAATTTAGTATTGACAAATAAACTTTTTGGCGAATTAAGTTTGTTGGCGAAATAATTATTGGTGAATTTAGTGTTGATGATATAAACATATCAGCGAGGCGATTTTGGTGAAGAGATGTGTCTATGAAAAGAGCGTTGGTAAATAGAGCTGACCCAATTTTATTTATCATTTATTCCCTTATTTTTATCATTATGTTTTTCATATTTTCCACTTTTCTACATTTTACGTATTACTGGAAACCTATTTTTAGTAAGTAATCTTCATAGCCTTCTTTGCCGTTTTTACTTCACGTGCTCCCAGGTACAATTCTGAGGCTTGCACTATATAGTTATCAATAATAGTGGTCTTTAATTCTCCATCATCATCTAGGGTTTCTTCTTTTTCTTTTAACGCTGCCAAATCTTCTTCATATAATCTCCTGAATTTATCAATTCAGCTTATAATATTTATTGAAGACAGTATAATAATTGAAGATTTCCTAGAAGGAAGTTGTGCAACTTCTCTTTTCGAGGGGGTAAAAGTTTGATTTTCTTTAAGATACCTTCACCAGAAATTTGAAAATATCTAATATGAGAAAGACAGTTTTGAATGGTAGCTCTAAAGGCCCGAAATTTTCATTTGTACATTCTTTAAGATAAGATGGTAGATTCAGCGTTCTTTAAAAGAGAAATTAAAGTATTTTCTTGAAGTGTGGCGAAATCTTCAGAGATAAAAATCATACTTGGATGTTTTGCAAGAAAGTTGTTATAAAATTGCTGTAGCGCTTTAAAATTTTCGTAAGGCGAGACCAATTTGATTCAGTGGTTTACGTTACCCCCCTTTCCCGCCTTCCCCCTCACTATATAAGTGAAAAATTTCGGAAAATTTTTATAATATGGGGCCCGGCAAACAAAAACACGGCTTATGGATTTTTTTCCATTTTGAGAAAATCACATTTAAAATTTAGTGTAACAATAACAATGAACATCTATTACATGTATTATTAGTAAAACCTGTTGGATCGACACAATTTGACCGATCACGTGATGTTCCCGCAGCAATGATCTACAACAGGACTTCCAAAATCTAATTTTAGATCACGTTTTATTGTATATGACATTTAAAAAAGTAGGCATCGATAAAAATTTTATTATGTAAATCGATGTTTAAATTTTAAATTATATAGAAGAACAGCCACTTTATACAATAGTATCATTAACTCTATTTTGCAAAAAAATGCCATAAGCCGTGTTTTTGTTTGCCGGACCCCATATCATGGATCATTTCGGAGAAAAATTTTATAATAAACTCCCTCCAGCCCCCTCCCCCCCCCTCTTTTTTGTGAGTAGGATGTAACGTAAACCACTGAATTAAATTGATCTCGCCTTATCTAAAATTCTATGAAAATTTTTTATTTTGATTCTGCGAGTTTGCAAGTTTAAAAAAATCACTGAAATTGAATAGACAAATGTTGAGAAATATCGATTAAAAGTTAAAAAAAAATTGGTCGCAGCTTTTTTTTACGGATATCGGCACTTACCTGATCATATTAGAATAATTTTCTTTTATTTTAATTCTATAATCGTATAGAATTAAAATTAAAATTTTAAACGAATTTGATTGGGTAGCTGCCGAGTTATTTTTGTTCAAAGTTTAGATATCCGTAATAAAAAAAACTGCGGCCAAAATTTTTTTTTAGTTTTTAATCGATATTTCTCAACATCTGTTTATTCAAATTCGGTAAAAATTTTTCTAATTTAATTCTTAAAAAAATTTTCATTGAATTTGGATAGATGGAGGTTGAGAAATTATCGTTTAAAATTTCAAAAAAAAAAAAATACACTAATTTTGGTTTTTTATTCAGTTATTTCAAGCTTTTTTAAAATTTCAAGCAAGGTTTCTCGACAACCACTGAACTAAATTCAATGAACTTTTTTTATTTTAATTTTACAGATATACAGAAACAAAATGAAAAGCTTTACTTAATTTGAGGAATTCGTCGCTAGAAGTTTAGTTTTGGCTCCCGAATTAGGTCGGAAATAATCTACAGTGATCTTCCTCCGTTAAAAAAATTGTCACGGCAGATTCTCGATTTTGATTGGCTAAGAGCGACGATCAAAAATTTAGGCCGGAATTACTCGAAATTTCACTAATATAATCACAACCGTCTATTAAGTAAAAATTGTTCTAGGGCTATTTTACCATAACGCGGCTTATTTTTAAAACTTATTATTTTTATAAAGAAAAATTAAAAGTAAACTTTTGCCGGGTAAGCAATTATGAAATCGGGGCAAGATCCTCGGCAGTTACCAAACAAAATCGAGGATTTACCGTGACTATTTTGTTGCGGCAGCTATGGTAAATGTTAATTCAACACTGCACAGTACCATGTTTCAGGCTCACACTGTGTTCTTTGTTACCGAAAAATGCCTGTAATTTCGATGGCAATAATTACTGAAATTCGCCAATGTTTCACAAAATACATCAGGTGTCCCATTACTTTTAAACCAGTCTGTAACTATTCATCAAGACTGGTCCTGGACATTGTTGGAAATATTATGATTTATTTAAAATTTCATTTAAACTTAAATATGTTTGAATCTAATTTACGCCAAATGTTGTGAGATTTTATTTCAATGTACAACATTAGCAATATTCTTTCGCTGGTTTATTAAACTATATTTGAACATGATTGAATAAATCCGGTGATTTTTTTTATTTGATTAGTCGGGAAACCCATACACCACATCACAATATTAAAAATGAAATTATTTAACATTTGACCATGAAAGGTTTCTAACCTTACAAATTTTAAAACCTTTCTTGGTGAATACTGTGCAATCTATTATGATTCAACAATATTTACTTCGATATAACACCAAAAGCAAAAATACTGTCATTAACATCAGAAGTTCAAAATTTTGCAAGGCCAAATATATTCTTATATCATACCAAATTAAAGCTGCAATTAAAATAAATTTTATGTATTTATCTCAAGAAAGTTTGCATTCAACAAATCAAAATGAATATTAAGGAGGAATTTAAACAATGTATGTATCTTGTACTGAGTCGCAAATAGACAGACAAAGCCTTTCGTCCATTGATACTTTATATGGGATTTGATAATGTATGTTCGTGATCTTTACTTTTTATAAACTAATTGATCGGAGATTAGTGAAGGATTTACAATGCATAAATGCCAAAAAAATGTCTTTGGTTTCGCTCATATGAGAGTTAGCGTTTAAAATTGTTACACAGCATGTTTAAATACTAATTAGATGACAATGACACTTATATCTTATATGCAGACTACATAGTAAAACGTAGTAATTACACAATTACATACTATTAAATTTAATCTACTCTCATTAAGAAATTCTAAATACTATATAGAATATATAAACTTTATAACGCTCCAGATATTAAGTGGATTTTTAGGATCGAAAGTTGTTATGAGTGTAAAGACTAAATTTGAGAAGTATTTGAAATCTGCTGAGGGTGTCAGTTTAAATGGGCAATATAATCTTGGATACTGCTATGAAAATAGCATATGCATAGCCAAGGATGAAAAAAAGGCATTTGAGTGGTATTTGAAATCTGCCGAGGTGGCAATTTAAGAGGGATGAACCAGCTTGGACACTATTATCAAAATGTCATATGCACAGAAGGATAAAAAAAAAGGCAATTCAAATGGAAAATATAAACTTGGAATTTTCTATCAAAATGGTATAGGCATAGCCAAAGATGAAAAAAGGCATTTGAGTGGTATTTGAAATCAGCTGAAGGTGGCAATTTTATGGGACAATCAAATCTCGGATTTTGCCATCAAAATGGCATAGGCACAACAAAGAATAAAAAAAGCATTTAAGTGGTATTTGAAATCTGCTGAAAGTGGCAATTCAACCGCACAAAATAATCTTGGATTCTGTTATGAAAATAGCATTGGTATAGCAAAGGACGTAAAAAAAGCATTTGAGTGGTATTTCAAATCCGCTGTAGATGGAAATTCAAAGGGACGATTTCACCTTGGACTCTGCTA